AATAAAAAAATTTAACAAAACAATGTCTTATGTTCGTGAAAGATCCTCGTCAAAAGAAATCCGTTTGAACTTTACAAAATTACTAAACCTGATAAACATGATGTAATGGCAATAATGTAAACCTTGGGCTTTCAATACCGACAAATGTAAAACTAATATAGAATAAAAGGTTTTATTGGCTGCTTCGCATCCAATAACTATATAGTATTGACTGACAAGCGACTGACAAGCAAATTTCACATTTAAAAATAATAGCAATCGATAGCTTTGACAAAAATTAAAGCGAACAAATATATTACTTTTTTATTTTTATTATTTTTTTTACGTAATATCTGATAAATTCGAAATTATATAGCAACGTCTTTTTTTTAAAAAAAAAAATTTCTCAGTTTAAAATTAAAATTAGAAGAATTATTTTCATTTTTAGCATAATTTTATCTCAAGACTTTGCTGTTTTAAAAGGTTTTAAAACAATAAAAAACGTTTAAAAAACTATTTAAACCGTTTTTTTACCATCCCTACTGAAACTGGCATAATGATTCAGATACTAGACCATTTAATTTTAATTCTAAAATATATATTGTTCGTGTATATTCTACTTTAAGCGATGTGCATAAACTTGCATTAGTTCAACGATCGTCATCACGTGACTACAAACCGAGCACAGATTACAAAGTCGCAACCTGCATGTTTAAACATTTCATAGTTTATTAGGTAGCTGGCTAAGAGTAGTAAGTATCTCCTCTTGAGAGAAGCCTGTAAGTGCTTCTGAGTACTAGTTTTGCTGAATATGTAGTTTAGGGTTGTATTCTGTTTGCCAGTGCGAGTTAAATATATCCTGGTTGATCGTGCGCAAAGCAGTCCAGTTACTGAAGTGCTGTTGGATATGTAGTTTGATATCTGTAACTATCTCCTGATCGAGTTTGATATTGTTCAACTTGACTGGGTCTTTATGCCGGTTTAGAATACTGTTTAGCATCGATGTAGAGCTGATTTGGAGTTTAGTACATCTTTTTGTAATAGCCTCTGTAATTTGTTCATGTGTTTGTCTGATGTTTTCTAAGTTTCTTGTATGAAATAGTTTTTTCCATTCTGAATTGGCTTCAACTATCCAGTCTGCTATAGGTTGGACTGCTGGTACAAGTGTGGGTATCTCAAGCTGGTGTGTACTGTTAAGCTGTGCTATTGTGTTATTGACATGTAAAGGAATTTGGGAGCTAGCTTTAGCTGAGCGTTTTACTATTCTTATTATATTACCAAGCTTCTTGAGGCTATAGTGGAGCTGAGTGGCCTTGGCAGAGAATGTGTGATGGAAGTTACGAACTATAAATCGCTTGTTGGGAATATGTTTAAGAGCTGCTATAATTAGACTGGCCTGGATTTTGTGCCAGGTTGTCTCTAGAAACTCTGAGCTTGTTGGAGTGAGTGGTATACAATGCTGTAGTAAGTTTGAATTGACTTGATCTGTAAAGTTTTCCCATTCTTCTTTGTTCATTGTTTTATAGTCAAAGACTTTTCTTCGAGTGCGAGTTTTATGTCTTTGTTGCCCTGTTGTTGCATAGAGAAAGAGCTAGCGGGAGATTGGAATTTTATGAAGCAGCAGGAAGCACTAGCAGACCAAAGTGTAAAAAAAAATATATACCCAGTAAACATACTCCACCACTTATTGGGCCTTAATATCATATATAAAAAATGATATATTTTTTGTTATCCTACTTGGTTTTAAAATCAGGCTAGAAAGTCTATATGATGGTATAAATTTTTATATACCAGGAATGCTCTTTAATGCCTTCTACTTATTAAGATCGCTAATTTGTTTTCTTGCTTACCTGAAGTCTTCTTAACCTAAAGGAAAGTAATATGTTTTCTTATTTATCTAAAGCTTTATTAACTTTAAGAACATAAATTTGTTTTCTTGCATATTTAAAGCCTTGTTAACTTTAAGAACATTAATTTGTTAGCAAGGGGCAAATAAAAAAAAAACGAATTAGGTGTAAATTGTTCGGACTAGATGTAAATTTTTTGTATATAATCCTAGTTAAAAAATTTTCATCTATTTTTTACTTCGAAAAAACAGAATAAAATTACGAGAAGGCAGTTGCTCTATCCTGAAACCTATTAATATATTGGGTTACATAGTAACCATTAGCATGTTTTTTGCAAAGGCTGGGTTCAGAGCTAGTTGGCTTGCTACAAATCTTTTTTTCTCATAAATTCGAAAAAAAAGAAACCTAATGAAATATGTTATCAGGTTAGGCTATCCCTGTCGATTGACAGATCAAGAGAGAAATAATTAATTATTTTTTGAACAAAAGTTTTCGTACTATTAATACAAACAGCTAAATTGTTTCACTTACTATCAAAAATGATACTTCAATGCCCTTGATGTAGAAAGAATGACTTTAAAAAGACTTGTGATTTAACAAATCATCTTAACAGAAAGTTTAAGTGTAAGCAACCCCAAATATCTAATCCAGTTCAGCCATCTAATCTTAATGTATCCAGACCTCAAACACCAGTACCCAGCTCCCTATATCCTATAGTTCATGTTCGTGAAAAGGAAGCTACTCATTTATCTATAGAGAATTTGGCCAATTAGCTAGCGAATCCTGAGATAAAAAACAACTCAAGTATTATTAGTAAAAAGGTTCCAAAGACAGATGCAGAATGGTTTGATTTAATGGAAAAGTCTCCTAGCAGATCGCAAAAGAAACCCCAAGTTTTTCAACTAGAAGAAGGTTCAAAGAATCTAGATAAAAAAGTGTCTTGGCCGGTTTCATTTCCAAATAATGAAGAGCACCGAAAAGTATAGCAAAAAGAAATTTAGACAGCAAAAGATATATTTAAAGTAGATGGTGCCGAATATACATTTTCGACCTGGTTTGCAACAATTGAGAAAGATAAAATATATGAAGCCGAAATGACCAAAGAACGTGCCAAGAAAATTTTAAATACAATAGATAATGATAAGTTTCTTATAAGGATAAAGTTTATTCGACCAGATTATGATAATTTCAAAATTGTTAACAAATATGAGCCCATACATGAGTCAAAAAAGGTTGGTAATAAATTCGTTCCAGGGGGTCAAAATGTTGTTCTTACAAAGAAAACAAAGCCAGGCTTCTGGGTTGGAATCGATAATAAATTTTTAGTTAGAGCAATTCAAATTAAAACCTCTGATTTTGAAATACTTAAAAATAATGCAGTTGTCTATGGGCTATATAGAATCTGAGAGCCAGATAGTAATCAATTAATGCCAATGAAAGATGGTACACTTAATTGTGTGGCCCAATAAGTAATAGAGTATTTTGAAAAAGCAAAAAAAGAACATGGTCTGACTAGTATACGTAGGCAAAAAATTGACACATGGGAAAAAAGAATGCGTCAGCCTGGTGCTTGGGCAAAGGATGTAGCAGAATTAGAAAAAATACTTAAGAGGCTAATCAAATTGCTTGATATTACTTACGAGACCATTTTTAATAGTGAAAAATATCGAACAGGTAGGTATGAAGAGATTGAGATAGTAGTTTATAATGGCTATGCATTTTCTAGAAACTATTATTTTTCAAGAGATCAAATGGTAGAATATTATAATAATAATGCATGAAATGCTATCAATAAAGCTCTTCAAGGTCCACAAGCAATATGGCTTATTGGACTCGGACTTGGAGAAGGCAAAACACTAGAAGAAATCCAATCAGTAACGCAGTTTGTTCTAGAAGATGGTCGTACATTTAGAACATGGATAAAGTATACAGATATTGTAAAAGCATGTAAGGAATTATTTGAGGATATGGTAGACTGGCAACTTCGGGAAGAAATAATTAGTGAAGAAAAAGAGCAGGAATTCCTAGAATCACTAAAAATAGTTGAGTTAGCAGAGCAGGTATTTGGGGCAAACCATGCTGGAAGTAAACTTGCCAATGAAATTAATAATTGGCATCCGACTCCAGCTAGCGTACATGAAAATATAAAGCAATCTTGTGTTGAGCATGGGCATGGAGGACGCTGGAATGCACCTAACTATCAAGTCGGAGAAGTTGTATGTATAGATATGAAAGAATGTTACCCAGCAAGTATACGTGGTCAAGGAGAGTGTTCACCATGGTTTAAGCGGTTTGGACATCCAACACATCATCTTGTTCAAGTAGCAGTAAATGGAGAATTGCCACAAGATGATATAACCGGATTTGCGCAGATAAGATCTTTCAAATTTGTTCCTAATATTCATCCAGCAATTCCTGTTTGGTATGGAAAACACTTTGCTTGTCAAAGTGGAGAAGGATGTGGGAAGGTAAAAGGCTGGACACCTATTGTACTTCTACGATATCTTCTTGAAGCAGGTATCCTAGAAAGTGTAACTATAGGAGAAGCTATTATTTCTCTTACCAAGCAAACGAATGTATGGTTGCCTAAAAATCGGGATATTAGTTGTGCTATCATAGGAAAGTTCACGCAGAGAAATAAGGTTGAAGAAAAACGCCTTACTCATCGGGTTGTAATAGATGAAGGAGAACTTGATTTCTTAATTCAGGATTGTATTAAAGAGGGAACATATGCTGGTAGTAATAAATGTCTGCTTGGGCATATACTTACATATTACGAGAGTCATCAGCCTCAATATACACATTTGCGAGCCTCAATGTTAGCTTACGCCCATATAAACTTACTGGAAATGCTTCGAAGATTTGGCCCTAATGAAGTAGTAAGAATTGCAACAGATTCTATATATATACGAAGAGAGGCCTTATATAAGATCGAAAACGTATCTGCCTTCTTTAAGCAATTTAAGCAAAAGATTAGCTATTCCAAAGATTCGGTAAATACTAGTAAATTTCTATGTCTACACGACTGGCATTCATGTGCAGTGTGTAACAACCCATCATTTATAGAATCGGTTAAAGTATTCCAAAAAACTAAAATGCCTTTAGCGGTAGGAGAATATTTTCCATATAGCAAACATAAACCATTTGTTTGTCATGATTGCTTTTGGGATTAGTATGCTCATAAAGGTTTTTGGGAAGTTATTCCTGATAAGAAGCCATCTAGCAATACTAGTATAGCCATTACTAAAATATCCGAACTTCTAAAAGAAAAGATTCTTTCAGAACCGATTAGAGAAATACAGCCTGGACAATGGCGTGATAAAGGAGAAAAAATTCATGGTCCAGATCCTAATGTTGTATACTGGCCAAAAAATAGGCATTGGGAATCGATTAAAGATATTACCAAAAGTACTGCTCCATCAATTCATGATCCTATTACAAGATCCCGAGTTTCTTATCTCAATAGAGGTGGTGGTTCTGGAAAGACAACGCGTGCAATTCGAATTTTCAAAAATATAAACATGGTCATTTTCACCCATACAAATGCGCTAGCTAAAGATTTTCAAAACGACCGTAAAGTAAAAGCCCAAACTTGGCATAGTTTCTTTAGATGGAATGGTGTGGGAGAATAGACACCTGAACGTATGGGAGAAAAGAAATTTCCACGAGTTGTCATCTGGGACGAGGTATGCACAGTGTCTAGGCATATTCTCGAAATGTTTATTGACTACTTACTAGAGCAAAAATGTCAGGTAATCTGTTGCAGAGATGATGCTCAGCCCCCACCATTCTTTGGAGAAATGCCTCATAACTGGTTAAAAGAACGAACTGAATACTATGAGGAAGTCTTGACTGACTATCGGGCCAAATGCCCTAGATTACAAGAGCTTAAGAAAAAAATGCGACGCCAAAATAACAGAGTGCAGTCAGACTTATTCCGTGAAGCACTTCCAGTTGCAAAAAAATGGGAATATCTTGAAGCTGAATGGAAGCCATCAGATCGTATCTTATCAGCATATATACTTTCCCGAAGAATTGCTTCCCATAAATGCTTAGAACTTCATCGAAAAAAATATCCCAATGTACTGATCCCGTTAATTTATAGGCCAAGAGATGGACGCAAACAGAATTGCCTTGTCCAAATTCCCGGCTCATCTGAAAAGAAGGAGTTAGTAAAAAATGATATAGAATATTTGCCCTTAAATACACTCTCTGACAAGTTCTTAAAAGATATATTAGCGGATAAAAAAGTCATAGATTGGGAACTCGGATACGCAATGACCATTCATACTAGTCAAGGAATGACTCTTAAGTCGCCACAACGTGTTTGGGTTATTGATGAAAACCTAGCCTGGGATAATCTAATATATTTGGCAGTTGGTCGCGTAGAATATTTAAGCCAACTCATTCGGGTTGAAGCACCTCCATTACCCCGTAAATTGCCCCAAAAGATTGAGGAGGAAAAAAAGAAAAAACGGCTAGAACATGAATTGAGGCCGTCTATTCAGGAAAAACTTATCGGATATATGGGCCAGGATAAAGAAAAAGGCCGTGAATTTGATTTAACAGTCGACTATATCCTCATATTAAAACGTATTCAGGAAGAAAGATGCACATCATGTTTTATCGAAATGAAATTCGAATGAGATCAGCCAGGAGATATACTTCAGTGGACAGTAGATCGAATCCACAATAGTTTGGGGCATATTAAAGAGAACGTATGCCTCACTTGTCTTCTTTGCAACCAAAATCATCAGGTTTAAGTCAGTGCCATAACTAGACTAGTGATACGGTGCTTATATGCAAGACAAAGGAGGAAAAGTCACAGTACTTACATAAATATTATAGATTTTTTTCTGGCGCAATAAATATTCAGTTATAGAAAATATCATCTCCTGTGGATCATTAGATCGAGGTAGTTGTCCACCGTTTTCCTAATGCTATTCTTGAGATCACAATTGAGAGATATATTTTTATATTAATATTTTTTTTTCTTATAAATTGGCAGTGTTGAAGTGAAATAAAAATACTGCTTTCTCGTGATTAAATCACTCAAATCCAGATATATCAGTAATCTGGATATATTAGTAACCCAGATAGATCTTTTTTGAGCTTGCGAAGCCTTAGTCAATAAAATCCATGCATTAAACATGTCCAATATTCAAGAATGGGAAAAAAATAGTTATGCCCTATATATGTTGACCGAATATGGTTTAAACTATATCAATAATCAAAAAACACCAGAAGCTTGGTTACAATTTCACATTGTTTATTAAACCAAACCCGAGTTCATCATATTCGAAAAGATTTAAACCTTTCACAGGATGAGCTAGAGCATCCAATAATGCATTGTGTTCTAATACTCCAAATGAATTAGATCTAGAAAATGTGACAAATAATCCATTTTTTGCTTGCTCAGATAAATTAAGAAGGCACATAGTAAATAGCCTAAGAAGGATAAAACGTTGACGAGCTTCTTGGGCTTGATAAAGTTTTTTTAAAGCATCTTCACCAAAACGTCTTTGATAATCCCATCCGGTATATGTTTTTCTAGGGTCCCAGTCCCAATAATTGTCTTGATCGTCATTACTATCTTCATCATTACTATCTTCTTTGTCAATGTCAGATTCGCTATTGTCATCATCATCCATGTTGACGGGTACGACTTCATTATCTAATAATCCCAAAGCCTCCAAGAATTCGTGTACCTCAATTTTATTACTAGTACTAATGTTAGAATAAGTTTGTTCCATAACGATAATATACCAAAATACCTTATCTTCAATTTAGGCCCAGTCTTTCTCGACAAAGTCGAAAGCTGGATATAGTAAGTTATTAGTTTTAAATATATCTTTTTGAGCTGGCTCGCTTGCAAGAAAAAAAGAGTTATTTAGCTTCTCTCATCTATGGTCGCTTCGTGCTATAGAAATTACCCAGCATCAGACAAAAATATATTACATTACTAAACACACTAGTATTGCGGTTCCACAGGTCTGGAGCAGGATCACTAGTTCAGAAGATTTTTGCTGGGCCACACCTCCTCAAAAATCTATGAAGTGTATTGATTAAATCATTATTTTTGTTTTTCATTCAGGTGCATATAGCAAAAATAAGATTAATTAACTTCCTGATTATCCAACTAATCCGGAGCAGTGATCATCAACCCGGAGCAGTGGTCAGTAATATGAATTTTTTTAATTTTAAAAATAGTATAATATTAATAATAAACATAATGAGAGAATCATATAGTGATATGTTTATAAAAGATATGATTAATTGGGTAGATCGGTCATCTCCTCCGAGCTCTCCAGTCTTAGAACCTAAAGAAGATCTCCAACACAAGGAAATAGCTCTGTGAGTAAATACATTAAAATGATTAAGCTATATGCTATTAGCATTGGCAAGGATTTAGATAATATAGATGTTAAAGAAAAATTCCTTGTTGGATTATCACCTGATAATGAAAAGCATGTAGAAGAGTTTGGGATTAAAAAACCTTTGTCTGAAATTTTCAATTTCTTAGTTAAGTTTTGCAGTTCAGCAATGTGATGCTCAGGTAAACCGCATAGACTAAATTATTATTTCTTTTTTTCGAATATGCATATTAAATGTCATCTATATTTTTTCGCAGTAATAAGAGTGCCATTGTTCATAAATTATATTCGCAGATGAGAGCATATAATTTAACTGCAAATCTATGGGGAATAAATCAATGAATAATAGGGTTAGGGTCCTGTAGCCTAGTGGTCTAGGCGCCTAACCTTCTACAGACGAGGTCGACGGTTCAATTATAGCTGG